TGCGTTATCTGATGCTTGTTTATTGATTTTCCTTGATTTTTATGAAAAATCCATGATACAAGACGAATTTTTCAAGAATCGATGCTTATACTCTAATAAGATGGGGTTTTTTGTATCGAAATTCGCATTGAAAAGTAAGCTGTCATGCAATGTTTCAACAATAAAAAGAAAGTAATGTACTCATCTAGGGTTTGAAACTAATTGTATTTTCAGCAAAGACAAATATCTAATATATCCTACGTAATATTTGTCAATAGATTAAAATGTGAATACGTTTAAATAATCATTCAGTATATTGTTCAAACTTTACAAAAAATGATATTATTTTGTGTTTGAATTTGTCTCGTGACACAATGCAATGGATTTTTAAATTGTAAAACATAATTCAGATGTTGAAAACTATCGTCTCTAAAGCTCTCAGAAATCCTAAATAAATTTCCCCGCTGAGATAATAAGATTGACGGGACAAGCAATTATTTGTGCTTAGTTGCATTAAAACATGCCAGATTTCACTCTGATTTTATTAGATTCAGAAGGTTAAAGATATGTTACAGTTATGTAATTCCTGTGATTTAATTTGACATCGAGAATATAAAAAATAAAGGCAGGCGTGCGTAAAGCAAAATAAGAAGGGGAAATCAAAACAAAAGACAAAATGTACGAAAGAAACGCACAAATACGAATACATTTATAAGAACATAAATGTCTATTTATTTTTGGCTTGCATATTTTAATTATTTCATATGAGGTTGCTTTCCAGTAATCTTATGGAATGTCGGAGATTCTACATAGCTGCCCGCTTATGCCTGACAAAAATGCATAGAGATGCTCCTTCAGTAAATATTGAAAGTTGCCATATGACCTGACTCAATAACAATTACCTCAAAAAGATAATAACCAAAGTGTAACTAAATAAAAAGTTTAAGCGTTTTAAACTATTAGAAAGAATTAAATTTAAAGTTTTCAATTATGTTCTACTTTTAATAAAAGTTACACGTACCTAATATCTAAAGAATGAAAATATTGTATTGAAGTGTTTGCAATATTTGTAAATATTCAATGCTTAAATTTTAAAATCCAAATAGAAACTACGAAAGGCGTTCACTTTTGAAGATTCTGTTAGATATTTAGCATCTCCTAAAATCAAATCTTTCATTACGACAACTAAAAGAATAAACTTAAAAATAATTGAACTAAAATTAACAAATACAAAATAATGTAATATGACAAAAAAACACCACCAAAACATCATTATCATAGAAAAACTGTAAACGACAAGCTACGAAATTAAACATTTTAATGTTATTTGCGCCAACAACATCAACAAAGATACCAAATGAAATTAACTGTAGTGCAACAAGATATCTTAAATTCAACAAACTATTTTAACAGACAAAACTTACCTTTGGCCAGGGACAATAAAATCAGCTAAAATATATATTATATATTTTGTGTTTAATTTTGCAATATAGTCACCCAAACATAGTTTGTTGCACTATTGCCAGAAACAACAAGAACGCTTGAGAAGAAAAAAAGTTTAAAGAATAGAGAAAATGCCAATCCTTATATTATAAGATTATGTAAAACATAAGTGAAAAATTTCAACTTACTGCATTGTGAAAGACGATGGGTTTTCAAATAATAAAAAATAAGTTTTTCATCATCTCATGTAGGGTAGTCTAGCTACTGAAATGGATTGCCCTTCAATACATTGGATTGATGGTTTTACTCTAAATCTCGGCTAATAGATAGATGTCAACTCAGATGAAGCTGTAGAGGGTTGTGCAATTAGACATAATTGGACTTCTTACAATAACTTACCGCTTAATCATTTATCTGTCTCGGATAATAATGTCAATATATATTATTTCTTTAATTTAAACAGAAGATATGCGGATTTAACATTGTTGAAAAATGTAATTGTCCGGCAGTTTTTGAAAACATCAAGTGTTTCACATAGATGCAAGTGTTTTATGATATCATTTTAAACACAAACCTAAGTAGTGGTCATTCTTAAACAATGAGACAAAATAGAGAAAATTAGAATCCTTAAAGAAAGCCCAAAGCGGCAGAAGTGAAAATTTTGCAGACTCAGTTTGATTTAGAAATGCAACAACCGTCCACACCCCTTACATTGGTTTGAGGAGAATTAAACACTGTACATAGAAAAGGCGAAATGCTGAATTAAGAAACATACGCAGATGTGCTATTCATGCATTCCAAAAAAGCGGCATATCGCCCGCAAATAAAAAACCTGCATGTGCCTGAAATGAGAAAGCAAGGGCGGATTAACCTAATACTATCACATCATGCACGAAAATTCCTTGATGATGAACTTGTTTCTTATTGACATTTCCAACAAATTTAATCCATTGAAATATCATGTGTTAAGACAGACACATTGTTCGATCTTAAAACATTTCCATTAGATTAGATTTGGCATAACATAGGATGTATGCAAAATAATATTAAGATCTTCGGACAATATAGCGTTATAAAGATAATGAAATTTTATAGAAAATAAATCGGGTTTTCTCCTTTGATTTTTTTTATCTTAAATGTAATTATATCCGCCCGAAATCATTACAATGATGAGCCTTGGACGCATAATTGAAAGCCAACACCAAATAGATCAATAGAGCAGCCAATTTGTGTTCCTTTTATCAGTTACCTTATAACATAGTTCCTTTTTTTGTTCAATTGTTAATCAATTAGTATATTTTGAAGAAGGTTAATGCAAGATGTTACAAAGCTAGGAGCAGTTGCCTTGCTACGAGGACAAGGCTTTGCCAAGCTATTCAGCGTAACAAAATATATCATATTTCGTATACATATTTTCTTTATGCATATAAATCAAGTGAAACTAGAAGTGATTTTTTTAGCTTGTTTTGGTAACATATGATAGGTGATAGAATAAATCTCAGTACATGGCTCTACGTTTAAACATCTTCGTTTGAAATACGGCATCCGGATTAATATTTCTGTGTGTTTAAATAATGTTTGTAAGTACATTGCTCGTTCAGGATGAATCTCAGCACTAGATTAGGATCAATGAAACAGATGTAGGATATTTACTTTGAAAAGCTTTATATTTGATGCTATTGGTGGTTGCAAATTCACACGATTATATAAATTACATAGTTCAGCAGTGGATAAAGGAAAAAATCACAATGCATGACAAAGAGAAATCAAATTTTGCAGTATATATTATAATAAATGTAATTCGTGATGTAGTCAGTAAAGCTTTGCATCTGTAAATAGCAATGGTCGAGTCACAATAAACTATTTTGTCAGACAAGTTGACAGCGTTATTGAAAAACGGATTCATCCGCCCACGTTGATATCATGCACCTTATTCTTGCAAAAGTTTGTGGTGTTTTTTTCGCAAAAAAATGTTGCAATACTGTTTGGAATAATTGCATATTTAACATTACGATTTTATTAATACATAGCTTATCTATGCAAATTAGCAATATGGTTGATATGGCTGTGTTATAAACTAATGTTTTCTGAAAATATTATTCTGAAATAATGTTTTATTTCACAAACATTTTTTTCATTATATGTTATCAAAAACAATTCTCCACCATTGGTAAATTTTCAGTTTGATAATTTGTCTATCAATTACACGTGATTTGTTTAAAAAGTGTCAACTGTCAACACTATAGTTAACCCGTATGCTTGAGAAATTATTTCCACATTGCCATTTGATATATTGAAATTAATAGTTTAAAACCGATTTCTGTCCATAATAATGATTAACAATTAAAAAATGTTTAAAATTGAAAATAACGATAAAGTTACGATTTAAAAATATTGACAGTAGTTTTCAAAGGATTAGTAATTTTTAATTATCATAAAGAAAAAAATATTCAGTAATTGCCTTTCGTTAAAGAACTTTATTTTATTAGAAAGTGATGTTTTTCTGTCGTGATTTAAGGTTTTCCCCTACAAACACATAGTTAATATCACACGTTAAGGATGCATAATCCAATAAAAATTGTCAATGGGTAGTGTATGCCATTTGTATACATTTGTTAAGCTGTGTCATATGCTATACTCGGATTTACCTTTATATTTTATATATTTACCTTTATATATTGTATGTCATTATTGGTAAATAGCATCTGCATTTTCATTTTAAATCGCCATGAATAAAAACAGGTCTAAATTCAAAGCTGACATCGTGAGTTCATGTCTTTTAGTCTGATCCTTGTGCTATCAAAGTGGAATTTATAATCTTGTTAATATATTGTTTTGTTTTATGTCATTCACTTTTTAGGTGAAATAGACTCCAAGCAAATGTGGAGCAAGTCTTTCCTTTGTCATATTATTTCGGATAGATAAAGTTATTTCGGAACATAATGATAACACAATATTTCAAGCTGTTACATTTCAAAAAGGTCCGATCTGATCAATTGTAAATAAATATCTGACACATTGTTTGTTTGCATATCTTTTTACGAAGTATGTCAACTTGAAATGTTTTGTAACTATTTGTCTAAATGTTAAAATATTATACTCGTAAACTTTCATGAACAACTCGTTTTTACTATGTGATCCTCAGTCTGTTAATTTTTTTTGTCTTTATTGCTCCAAACTGATCTCCGAGTTTCCCAGAATAGCTGAGTCGAAATCTATATTTTACCAGAATAAGTGTCGCTTTTATACATTTAGCAGGCTATATAAATTGCCTATTAGATTTAAAACGATCAATGCTGCATCAATAACGTTGAATATACCAATATTTATATATTTTCTGTTTTTCATTACATTAGGTATCCCGTCGTATTTGTCATTTTATGTCATTTTGTATCCATTAAAATTGGCAATTCTTGTGTTAGCTTGAACCGTAAGTTTAGTTATACATAGAGACGAAAATTGGTTCGACACCAGCGTTTATGAGGTTTAGAATATTTAGTATTTCATTAAAGATATCATCATGTAACACTTTTATTATTAATGTACATTATAAAGGCAAATGAGACTTTTTTTATTTTCAGATTAGCTGTACTAAATGACTGTTTTCACTAGACCAACAAAATATGATATAGGATTATGATACGGATTAATTTGAATAAAAGCTTCAGAGTGGATTAAAATATAGTTACAGGTTAGTACCTTTAAGAGTTTTGTTGGATTTTAGCAATTTTTTGTTATTTTCAGAGTCTCGTAAAATCAAATGTAGTTACGACATTTCAGAAATGAAAATTAAAACTATATCAAAAAGTTTTAACATTTATATTGGAAAAATATGACTTTCAGTTTACATTTTAAATTATCGACATTTTTCGGGGGACGAGGGTTCGGGTAACAATTCGCGCGAAAACGCAACAAAGTCAATATCTAAAAGATTCAACAAGCACAGTTGTTTCTTGACACAAATCTACTGAGAAATATGTCGTGTCCCATTTGCTATTTAAAACTCACTTAGTTTGCTAGTGGCAACTAGTTCTATCCATGCGACTAGTTTAGACAATGATCAGACATCATCAGATCTGGTGCACTGCGCTGTTTGCTTTTCAGTAATTGCATATTTTGAAATCTCTAAAAATGATATATTTTTTTGTTCAGATTGAAAGATTGAGTGAGAAGTCCATTTAATATAAGGGCAGGATAGCGAAAATGAATGCAACAGCGTTGGTCAATTGAATTGTACTTTCATCTCCAAAGTTAATTGGGTCTCAGTGCAAAAAGTTCGCAATGAGACATGGCAGGCAATTTGTTCATTATCTAATGTTTATTATTTGTGACAAATATTTTGATTCCTAGACGTGTAAATTATCTTTATCTTATGCACTAAAATACAAAAGTGTTATTATCGTGTGACACAAAGCAATTACATTTCAGTTATTATCTAAATGAATAAAAAAATCCATCATACAGTAAAGATTTATATTCCTTTAATACATCTTTGTTATATAAAAGACTTGCTGACGAGGTAATGTCATCAAATTTGTATTTAGTTTTGAAATCTTTTTCCCTATCAATCGAATGGAAAGCAGTCAAAATTACTCTTTTTGTGCCAACGTTTTGTAACTAACGACCGAGTAAAAAAAGTTGTTACAGTAAACATAAATATGAAACAAGTATGATTTGCTTTTATCGTAGATCAAAGAAATAGTTCCCCTTTTTCAACAACAAAAAGGAAGTAATTAATTATTTCATTCTTTAAAATGTGTGTAAGTGACAATAACTGAAAGTAATTAAGCACATTTGTTGATGTTATAGCAAGCCTGTAACAGCATTAGACCTCAAGTATTGTTATTCAGATTGATAAGTTTGTGCTTATATTGGATCTCAAATCAAGGCTTCCCTCTTTGACTGTTTTAATATAGTGGTATGCTTATTGGCGATGCCGGTGAGCGGCGTCGTCTCTTATGGAATGATTTTTATTTTTTGCCTATGGAAGGAGCTGTTATTATTAGTAGTTGATGTCATGTTGTGTTAATAAGTTTTATTTTGATTCGTAAAAATCAAGTAAACAATTATGTTGTAATATTTGTATTTAATAACTTCATGTAAAAAGCATGTGCATTGTGATAATTTTTTCACGAAATTGCAGGCTCAGTTTAACAGCTTGTCCCTTAGCTTTATTGGCAATACTAAAACCCGGATTTCGAATATCGTCGTGGTCTACATAATCTATCCTTGTGAATGCCGTATTCTTTTGCATTCAATTTATATATTTTCAAAATTTTCCTACAAGAAGAACATTCACCTGCAAATTAGTATTAGGATAGGAATGGAACTGTTGTAAACGATTATCCTATTGATTTTATCAATATTACGTTAGTCTATTGCGCAGAATGATTGTTTTTACTAAGTGTACCAGTATCCGGATGTTGAAAGCAATTTTCTGCAATTACTGCTGTCACATGACTATCTAACTTACCATTACTTTACATGGCTTAATAAAACTGAGCCTGCAACATTTTATAATTTTGCTGTTTAGAGTGTTCTTTTTTGTTTCAGGTTTTCTCTATTTCAAGGGAAGTAACTCATGTTTACTAAATTATTTGTTCTTTCCTGTCTAACTTAGGTATTACTAACTATTTTTTTTTGTATAAAATTTACCACTTGTAAGGTCATCAAAAGCATAGAGACCCTGAGGAGTGAATATTGATAGATTTTTTATTTTACTGGCTTATAGACTGGATTTTTCTAGTGTGTTCAGTTAGTACATACCTACAGGTATTCTGCTACAGGAATCTGCTAACCACTATGTGAAACTTATTATTATTTTCTATGTGTTTGTATATAAATTGTTAATAAAATAACCTTTGGTAAAAATGAAAGGTAGAAAATTAAAGCTATGCATGTAGGTGCTTCTGTCCATATAATAAAACAGAGAAAGAATAACATCCTGAAGTTATCAATTTTAAACACTTGATATATAATATATATACAGTCAGTTATATAGTAAAGTCTAATGTAAGGTTAAAAGAGGGACAGTATTTGTTACTGTAAGAGATATGCATTTAATGTTTAGACACTCACACAACTCAATCTTTATTATATGATATAGACTACAGTTTGTATTTGAGATTTTTTTTTTACTTTTATACTATACATTATAGTTTTCTTTCTACAAGATTATGAATTCCATCCAAGTACCAATGTTAATAGGATGTTATACTATTTTAATGGAAACTGGGAATTATTAATGTAATGAGCATACATGTGTATCTTAGTATATGGATATAATGTGTATTTCTGTATTTAAAGACTAACAGTTATGATGGATGAGACTTGCATTTAAATTTATAAATGATAATACATGTATTGATTAGTCTACAGGTTATAGGTGTTTATACCCAGTGTTAACTGGCTAAAAATAGTATCTATAATAGAGTTTATACATTATAGTTTTCTTTCTACTAGATTTTGAATTCCATCCATTAGTACCAATGTTAATGTTAATGTTAGGATTTCATATTTATTTAATAGAAACTGGGAATTATTAATGTTATGTGCATACATGTATATCTTAGTATATTGATATGATGAGACTTAATAATATTTCTGTATTTAAAGAGTTACAGTTATGACAATTTTATTAAAGGGATGAGACCTTCGTTTAGAGTTATAAATGATAAAACATGTATTGATTGAAAATGACCTTAAACTTGGATCAAGCAAAATAATTAATAAAGTCTCAAAAATCATATTCTGAATAGTTATTCTATTTTCTTTCTAACATGTGCATAGTTTGAAAAGAACAGCTTCTGTCTTATCTATTTGTAATGGAGGGACACCGGTCTCAACCTCCAGGTCAACCCAACAACAGACTTTTCATAGAGTAGATTGTTACTTGCCCTTAAATAAATTTGTGCACTTAGTTTTGTAATGGGTGATTTGTGCCACATAAAAACCAACAAAGTACAAAAAGTACGGGCGCCAGATGAAAACATGAAAATACAATCTACCACAAAGTTGTTTGTTTGTTGCATTTTCATGTTTTTCCCCGGTGCTTCTAATGCAAAAAACAAATAAGCCTTCAAAAAATTTCTTATCATAGAAAAAAGGTTAGTTTTTTATCTGTACAAAAAATAGATATTGTACATGTATTAGTACAGTTATGTTCTCTTTCAAATTGACCTGTTATAAATAATGGCATAACCAATAACTGTCTTAGCCCTTTTTAGTAAAAATAATTATACAATATATAAATTGTTATTTTGATTAAGACTTTGAGTATGTAAGGTTTTTTTCTTATTTGTTTAATAAAGAATTAATCTACTTGTTAATTTAAAAATGTAAAAGTATCTGTCACGGTTTAGAACTGTTCACTATTCAGGGGAGAAAATGTGTAAGCGGCCAGATAGCTCAATCGCTACAGCCGCAGTACATTATTCTGTGGGTCACAGGTTCGAGTTCTGGTCAAGATGAAAGTTTTTCTCATCCTGTGACGTCATATAACCCTGAGTTTATTCACTATGCTCTGTAAACATCAGAAATTTAAGGTGACAAATCAATATTGTGGGAAATATGTTGTGGTTTATAACTGTTTCATTATTAAAGAGAAAATATGTAGCCGACCTGATAGCTCAGTTGGTCTTCTGACAGTCATGGGTTCGAGTCATGGTCAGGCACTTTCAGTCAGGGTTTAGAAGTGTTTTTTTAACTGACACATGTTAATTTATGTAACAGATTGTATTAAATGTGTATTAATTATATTAATAATGGACAAAGGCAGTAGTGAATGATACTTTTAGATCTACAAAAGGCATTTGATACAGTTGATCACACTATACTGCACATGAAGAAGTTCTTCTTCTTCTTCATAAAACTTCAAGCATCTGCCATAGGTAATGACATTCTTACATGGTTTAAGTCTTATCTCTGATAGACAGCAGCTTGTGGATGTGGCTGGTACTCATTCTACTACTACTCCGAGTACCTATGGTGTCCCCCTGAGGTTCATTTTAGGTCCTCTTTTATGTCTAATATATGTCAATGACATGTCTGCAACCCTAAGCAATAAGCTTTTATTATATGCTGATGACTCAGGTATCCTTGTATCTGGTAAAATAAATCTGAAGAAATTCTCTCTTATGGCATGAGTCTTATAAGATTGGTTAATTGACTATAAATTGTCTTTGCATCTTGGCAAGACAGAGTCTATTCTTTTGGGTTCAACTTTCAACTTAAACAGGGTCCTAGCCTCCAGGTCACATGTAATGGTACTGCTATAAAGTACACATCTTTTGTTAAGTATTTAGGTGCAAAACTTGATCAATTTTTTTTGGCGTCGCCTTTGATGCTTTGCATCAATGCTTTTTTTGCTTTATTAAATGGAATATTCTCCACAAACAAATCTCATACTTTTTTTTGAGAAATCCCTTGACATAATCCAACCATAAAACGTAAGACTGTCGTGTCGACAAGCCATATTATTTCACACTTTGAAGCAATTGTGCATTTTCCCAAAATACTGACTTTGTTGTAAATAGAAGAATGATTGATTGAAGAGGTTGTTCAGTGTGGGGGTTTTAAAAATACAAATTTTTTTCCCCCTCCCCTATTCAAACTTTTTTTAAAGGGGAAAATTGTTTGGGGAGTGATGGGAAAAAAAGTAAAAATTGACAAACCCTTTTTAAATGTTTTTTG